TATTTTTAATGATGTCTACTAATGCATGGATAGTTTTTTTTCATCTTCTGTTGCAAACAAGAAAGCCGTATGAGTGAGAAAAAGAGGGAAAGTAAAAAGAATATTATTCCGTGAACTCATTAGAAGAAGGTGCGCATTAGATATATTATCATGTCGTCATCATCAACAGCACAATTAATTGTTACTATTGCTGAATATTATACAATCTATACTGGATTTATTACTTTATTTTTTGGTATCATTGGAAATATTTCTCTCATTTTTGTATTAACTCGTCTTAGAATTTTTCGTGGCAATCCGTCTGCGATTTATATCATCACAGAATCAATTACTAACTCACTTCAAATGGCATTTTTATTAACATCTCGTATTGCGATGAACGGTTTTGCTACTGATCTAACACAAACAATATTATTCTGGTGTAAATTAAGAGCATCATTCAGAGCATATTTTACTCTTCAACCACTTTCTATTATTTGCTTTTCGGCTATTGATCAATATTTATCAACAAGTTATTATCCATTTTTAAGACAAAAAAGTACAATGAATTTGGCTAAAATTCTTATTACTATCGTAACTATAGTTTGGATTGTACATGGTATACCGTTCTTTTTATTCTCTGGAATTCAAACAACATACGGATGCTTTATATATAATTCCAGTTTTTTAAATTATATTCTATATTTCTATTATCCGATACTTTCTGGTATTTTACCGATCATTATTTCGACATTGTTTGGTGTATTAGCTTATCGAAATGTTCGTCGAATTGTAAGACGTCAAATGCCAATACGTCGACGAAAATTTGATCAACAATTAACAGCAATGATTCTTATTCGAGTTGTTTTTTTAGTCATTATGATATCACCATATGTTTTAGAGCGTATTTATGCAGTTGCATTCAAAACAAATCACAGTATACTTTATGATGCTATTTTGATACTTATTGATGATATTGCTTATTCGTTTTATCATATTAATTATGCAGTATGTTAAAATAATTACAGATTTTTATTTATTTATTTTGGTCATTTTAGGGTTCCTTTTATTTATTCTTAATATCATCAAAAAGATTTCGTCGACAAGTTAAACATGCTTTTATACAGAAATTTTGGGAAATATTTTGCACAAGAAGAATACATCAAAATCAAATAGTTCCAATAGCACAGTCATGCATTAGTGAAGATGATTTTTAATCAATTTAAGAATGCAAAATGTATTATTGTATGATTATTATCAATGTAACATAATTCGAGGATATATATAAGATGTGACATTTCAATCACTTGTATTGAATATTTTTATTTTGAACATAAAATATTTCTCTATATCAACGTCAATGATTTCAACAATCAGAGTATATTAAAAAACTTATTAGACTGTAGTACTTTTTTTCCGTTTTTGCATCTATTTTATCTTGAAGAAATAAATGTAATTAAGAGATTAACAAAGTATTTTTTCTATTTTGGAGTGGGTGTGGTTGTGGCAGCAGAATGAAAAGAGTACAGACATATCCACATTGAAAGAGTAGGCAAGGTGTCTCTATTATATGAAGACTTTATTAGAATTTTATAACAAGATTGATATTAGCTAAGTGCTTAACTGAGTCAAAAAGTTCTGTCACTCAAGACAAATTGCTCAATAGAAAGAGATTCCGTTTCTCTTTCTACAACAAATGTTAGCAGGAGTCACCGTGATATTCAATTTTGAAATGTCTATTCGTATTTGTAGGAGGGCATCAAGTTGAATCCTCGGTTAAAAATTTTGTTAAATTTGTTTCTTAAGTATTGAGAACTTACACAAACATAGAATGACTGCATGGATAATTATGTTAAATGATCACTGGTGATGAGATGTAGGTTTACCCTTGCAAGACTAGATAGAAGCAGCAACCAAAATTGTAAATAACAGAACTCGTCAGGTACTTTTCGTGACGTCTATTAAGGTTATCCATTATTGTAATGAATGTTTCAAACTATCATATAAAAAGTTATTAAACAAAAAGCCATCATCAGAAACCATCGGTAGTAAATTTTACTATTGCAATGTCAATCATATATAAAAGTTATAGACATTAATTACCTTAAAGAAGAAATAATGAACTTATGGTTTATTCGTTTCTGTCGTCCGACTTTGCTCTTTCAGGTTTAAACATACACTATATAAATATCTAAATGCAATAGGTTTAGCTAAGTTTTAATCGAGGATTCAACTTGATATCCTCCTATAAATACGGAAAGACATTTCAAGATTGAATTGAAGTTGGTATCTAACATCACGGTGACTGCTTCCAATGTTTGCTGTAGAGAGAGAAATGGAATGTATTTCTACTGAACAATTTGTACTGAATGAAAGAACCTTTTGACTTCCCTATGTGTTTTAAAGAGGATAAAGAAAATATTTTTTTAATTTAATTATATCTTAATTAGTTATTATTTTATGCCAATATTTAATAGTATACAATATGAAATAAGTATTTGATGACATGATCTGTTTTAGATAGATGTGCTTGTTTTTTATCTTTTATCTAAATAGTAACTAGATTTTTTTTTCATTTTCTTTATCTCTAATTCTATGTTTTCGCTCATTGCAATCATGTTGAGTTTCTCTTTTCTATAATTATAAAGAAAAAATTATTTCATAAACAAATTTACGAATTAAAGGGATGAGTTAATCTATTGAACAATTTCTTCTTGAATATGATCTTTGTTTAATAAAATCTATTCGATGATTATCAGTATCGTAGATCAATATTAAATAAATTTCGTCATAATATTTTCATAAATAAACTATCCTATTTTGGATGTTCATCGTCATATTGATTAAAAAAAAATTTTTTAACGATATAATTTCATGTGACTGGAAATTGATCAGCATTTTGTGATCTAAACTTAAATATAGGATGGGGTGTGGGTGTGAGTGTGGGTGTGGGTGTCGGTGTCGGTATAGGTGTGGGTGTGGGTGCCGGTGTGGATGTGGGTGCCGGTGTAGGTGTGGGTGTGGGTGTCTTAAGTTTTTGCTTAAACCCACACTCACACCCACACCTACACCCACACCGCCACCCACACCCACACCGGTACCCACATCCACACCGGCACCCACACCCACCCACGCCCACTCACCCACATCCACACCCCATCCACGCTCCACACCCGCACCCACACCCACCCTCACCCACCCACACCCACACTCTACTTTTTTATACTTCTTAATTTGCTAAAAGTAATCCTTGATTCACAGAAAAGAAGCTATCAGGATAGTTAGTAAAGACCGGATCTCTGGCAATTGAAGTTATCAGTGAAAAGAGCCTGAGAAAAGCTGCATCTGTTTAATGTTTTTTAATCTCTTCTTTACTTGACCGATTGGGATCCAGCAGTCTTTATTTATTTTATTTACTTCACATCAAACATTATTCTGTCCCAGAAATCCACGTGAAAAAAATTCAACTCTGATGAACTTCAGCACAACGAGTCGTGCATGAACAAGGAATATGACAACATTTTTCATTAAATCGGCATTCGTTATCACCATGGCACTTAATTTCTATCATTGAAGGTAAACACACGAAGCGTCGAAGGCAGTGAATGTGTGGAGGTAGGCTTGGGCACACACCTGACAAGTATTGAAATAGTGCTCAAGATAGATATAACAATAGTTACTCACCATCATGAACTTCTGCCGTTTCGAGTGAAGTGACACAAACTAGGGCTAGAATAATAAGAGCGACGAGATTGGATGAATGCATTCTTTCAATTTGTGTAGAAAGGATGAAGTGCCTAGTGTTGATATCAGTCGGGTTTATAAAGAAAGTGCTGTGTGGAAGAAAAGACAGATGGATGCATAATCGATAGATAAGCACTCTTTGATACGTTCGTGAAAGGTGCACTTTATTACTCCGACAACCATTCTCTCTGTTCATGATCGAAGAATATAAATAAATCTGATAAGTGACCCTTACTTCCACTCACACACAAATAGATATTCACAGGTGATGTGAAGAAAACATCTTACAACGAGCTTTAACTATCTGTAACACATGTCTATCTGTTAAAAAACAAAAACAAGTAAGCATGTCTGGACTCTCTTCAGGAAAGTGTTCCTCCAATTGAAGAAAATCGCTTTTAAACATAATTTACGAATGTTGACGTGGGGCATCACATAAGGGTGTGGGTGTGCGTGGGTATGGGTGTGGGTGTGGTTGGGTGGGTGTGGGTATGGGTGTGGGTGGGTGTGGCTGTGTGGGTGTGGGTGTGGGTGGAGGTGTGGGTGGGGTGTGGATGTGGGTGTATATGTGAGTGTAGGTATTGGTGTTCTCGCAGATTAACAGAAAAGGACACCAACACCCACACTCACCCCCCCACACCCCCACACCCACATCCATACCCACACTCACACCCACACCCTACACCCACTCACACCCAAACCCACACCCACACCCTGCCTAGTTGGCGGTTCTAGTCCACTTCTCAAAGTTTAAAATCGATCCTATCTTCATAGAGCAATAGGCTACTCTTTCAAGGGAACCATGAATCACTAGTTATTAATGAAATGAATCTCCACAATTTTATATGGATAGATGCGCCAGATATGTCTCTTTCCAACGGTGAAAACCGCAGCTTTCTATCTTGTACCTATCAAAAGTGATTCAAGAAATACCCACCGGCCTTCTTTTTTGGAATGGGCAGCAGTTTCCGAATACGTCCAGCGGCATAGCGCTAAATCTCTTGTTTAGCTGTGCGTGGGTGTACAGTTTTTCTCTACATGTACATCCATACCCATCCCATCCTTTATAATGTAATTATTTTCGAGGATAAGTGCTACGATTGCTTATTTTGATCTCTTTCACTTATATTATTCATACTTTCTTTTACTCTCACCTTCGAAATGCTTTCAAACAATAAATCATAGTATTGTTTATTTTAAAAAATATTCATAGCGAACTCATAGAACGAAAACTCAAGATTATTTAAAGTAAGTTTGACAATCAATCAAAAAGGTAACTATGGTAAATTTAAATTTGCTTCGTTTGACCAAGCTGCATGCCGAGAATCATCCATTAAACCAAAATGACGATTTGTTTCTAATAAACGATGATTTTGTCCACCAATTCGTTCTCCACAATCAGAGCATTGACTTTCTTGGTTAGCACCACCACACTAAATCAAATATAAAAAATATTTAATCAAAAAAAGAAGATTGTTTACAGAAAATTCATACTTCAGTAATAACATAAGGGTGACCATTTGGACAAATATACCAATGACCTTGTTTCATATTTAATGCAGTAACAATAGCTATTCGTTCATTTTCAGTTATTCCTAAACCAGGTAAGTTATTTAAATATTCAAATTGTTGTGCTAAATCATCAAATTTTTGTCGATCTTGATCAGTAAATGGACCCGGTTTTTTTGTTAAATATTGCATAGAATCAATACCTTCTTTTTCATTTGGTTTCAGAGTTTGTTTTAACGAAAAAATAAGAGTTTCAATATAGATTACTCGACGAATGCGTTTTAATTCGGATTGAATATCTTGTAATTGTTGTTCAGCAAAATTTCTATGAAATTGTTGTTTAAATAAATATTTCACAATATGCTGTAATGGAAAATTAACTAGATCTTCAAATATATTTTTTGGTAATTTTTTATGTCTACCAATTAAAATATCATCTATTTCATTAAGAAATTGTATTATATTTGTTATCAAATTTAACATATCATCAGTAACGAATCTTTTTCTTTTATATAATACAATAAAATCTTGCATAGGCTTATCAAAATTAATTTCTATTAAATTCTTTTGTAATTCTTCATATTCTTTTATTAAGTCTGTTCGTCGATTATTTATTTGTTCTTTAGTTGAATTACCCAAAATTTTCTTTTTAACTTGAGATATTAAATTATGCGCTTTATTTATAATTGACATATAACGCGTACAATAATGAATTTTTTGTCGACAACGTGGACATTCAGGAAAACGGATAACTGTTTTATCATCCGAATTGTTGTCAAAATCTTCGACGAATTTATCGAGTGCGGTTACTTCAACTAATTTAAGATTTATAATAAAAAAAAATTTAAAACGATCATCAATACATACTTATATGTTTACAATTGGGTAGGAAAACAAAACGTGCATCAGGTTCATCTTCAGAACCAAAGAATATTTCTTGTACAATATCTTTATGACATATACGACATTGTGGAGGACATGGTTCACCACATAGACCAATACCTGTTTATGAATAAAAGATTTTATTAAATAGAATAAAATTATTTATTTAGAAAAAATATATTTACAAATATGACCACATTTCAATTTTTTATTACATGGTTTGTTGCATGGACCACGATTACATGGTTCATAACATAAACGAGTGCATCGAAGATGCTTACATTCATAAGCACATAGCTAAATCAAAAACATTTAATTTATAAAAGACAACATTCTATCCAAACCTCTCTGCATGGTTCACATAAATCACCGCATCTGTTTCTACATTTAGAATGTGTACAACGTGTTTGACATTCACGCGAACATGGTGGACAATTAGTTGCACAAGATACTTTACATACCTAAATATTAAGAAAATGAAATAAAGTAAAACAATCTATCTTTCTTAAATTAACTTGCATGTGAACATATTAATTCACGTTCACATTTTTCCCCGCATGGAACATGTAATTTTCCTGTACGACAATCTCCACATGTTCCTACACATTTATGTTGACATGCAAGAATGGTACCACATGGTTCTGGACAAGGAAATACTTTAAATTCAGATGGTAATGATAAAATGCGACATGGAACAAGAACAACATGATTACAATGTAATTTTATTAATGATGATTGTTTACAATCATTACTAGTTGGTGTTTTACAACATTCAATGCGAATTTGATGACCACATTCTGAAATTGTTTTTTCAACAAGAACATGACATGAATCATGTTGATTTGGTGTTTCAAAATGACATCGTTTTGTACACGGATGGCCACATGATAATTTCTCATCACATCTTCTATGACAAACTATCTCATCATGTCTAATAGAAAACGAAAAAGAAGATTTTTTTTAAAATTTATCGTTTTTATATTTACTCAAAATCGTTATTATGACACTTTAATTGACACTGATGACCACATTTAAGTCGAGCATCACATCGTTTTTGGCAACCACCTTCTGGACGTTGTGCAAAAGATTCAGGTTTATCAGCTATAAATTTAGGTTCAGGATGTTGATGACAAGAAAGCGATAAACCTAATGATAGAATATATTATATTGATTATTTTAATTAAATGGTTCACTAACCTGTTCCTATTTCTTTTGTTTCCAATAAAGATGTAAAAATATTCTTCCACATATCGTCAACTTCTGCTAATAAATTCATATTTCCAATAACAAAAAGTCCACAACGTGCACGTGATAAAGCTACGCATATTCTATTATGTATACCAAGAAAACCAATTTTTTTCTCAGGATTACTACGAACTAATGATAATATAATTATATCATTTTCTTCACCTTGATAATTATCTGTAACCTAGAACAAAAATAACTTTAAATTTGATGTTTTCTTCGAGATTTTACTATCAATAAATACTACCATAATTCGAACACCACGTAAAAGATTTATTTGTCTTGTTTGTTTAGCAATAAATTGTTTTTGACCAAGATACATAACAAGTATTGTTATTTGTTTAGGACTATAACCTTGTTTAATTAAATATTGTGCTAATTCAATAACATATTTAGCTTCATGTTCATTTCGTTTTGAACGTCCATCATCAACATCTGTTTCATTATTATTATGATTAATAAAAAATAGATTATTATCAATACCACGTACTGATGCTCGATCAGTTTTAACACTTATATGATCATCTAAATCATCATAAAAATATTTCATAAGACGAGCAATTTCTGGTCGCATACGATGCTAAAATACAAATAGTTATTATTTTTTTTTCTATTGTTAAAACTATTTTGTTTTTAAATTTTACTTGAATATTTAATCGAACATTTGGAAAATTATTTTTAATTAAACGTTCAAATAATGATACATCAATATTATATTTTATTCCAAGATTATATACACTTGGATTAGGTCGTAATTGTACATGATCACCAATTAAAATTAAATGTTCACATTTTGTACTTAATGCAGTTATTATATGTGCTTCAAATATAGCAGCTGCTTCTTCAACAATAACAATTTTACTTTCTATAAATAGAAATGAATATTTTTTAAAATAAAAATTTAAAATTTTCGTACGAAGCTTTTCTAAAACTTTATGATATTTTGCAGCACATGTTGTTGTCATAGCAATGATAATACTATCTTTTAAAATATGATAATCTTCTGTTTGACGAATTTTAGCAAGATCTGATACAATTTCATTATGGTCTTGATTTGCAGTATGAATAGAAAAATGTAAATATTGTCGATATTTTAAAAGCCAATATCCATATAAATTATAACGCTCAATATCAGAAAGTTGCCATACATTATCTTTTATTTGTTTAACTGTTTCATCATTAAGAGTTGTAAGATTTTGATTGATATATTCAATGAACCGATGAACATTATTCGAATTTTTTCGTACAGTTTGCGATTTTCTTTTACTATTATTGTCATATTTTGATAGTATTTCTATATTCATACGATTTACTGTAACTGTTTCAGATTGTCGAACAATTGATGAAGACATATAATCATATTCTTCCATATCAAGTTCATCTCGTCTACGTTCTTCTTCTTCTTCCTCTTCTTCATTGAATTCATCTTCAGCATTTTTATCTTTATTATCTTCAAATTTTCCTTCTGTATTATAATCTATTTCCATTCTGGAAATATTTGTTGCTACAGTTTCTTTATAAGTCAAATCAACAGATATTTGTTCGACTTCATCATAAAGTCCAAGCCATTCTAATAATACTGTTTCAATTTTATCATTATGTACTCCTAATAATGAATTTAAATGTCTATCATCAATAATAGCACAATCAACAAATGATTGAAGAGGTGTTATATTTGTTTGTGACCTTTCCATTTCATATTGGTGTAATTTTAAAAGTTTTTCAGTTTCAAATTTATTCGCTAATATTTTATGTTTTTCATAATAGACATCACGAGGTGTAGAACGCTTCTCTTTAGCAAGTCGACGTGCAATAGTTAATGAAAATTCTTGAATTGTTCTATTTTCACATCGACTTCCAACACGAATAATACCTAAAATAAAATATATATAAATAATAAATTTTATTTAATAAAAATCATTATTCAAACCTTCACGTATATTTAAACGTTTAACAATTAATTCTAAAAATTGATCAAGTGCATGATTTGTATGACAAATCATAAGAATTGGTGTTGATTGTTCATCAGATGGACACCAAACTGAACGATTGTATAAAAGCATTTCTGTTATACGTACACCAAGAAAGGTTTTTCCAGTGCCTGGTGCTAAAAAAAAAGTTCGTTTCTTTTAAATAATTAAATGTTTTTATGTTTTACTTACGCCCTTGTATAAGTGCAACTTTATTTATTAAAGCTAATATTAAAGCTTCACGTTGTTTTGGATTAAGATGTAATTCTTCACTTGTTGGCCATTCATCTTTATTCACTATGCAAATTGTTTTATATTTATTGTCAATTTGATTTGCTTGTTTATATTCAATTTTAAATTCTTTTGTTGTTATAGGTTCGATTCGTCTTCGAATTCTGTTATTACCATCTAAAAATGTTTGATGAATGATTAAACTTGCATTAACATCTGAATTTAGGTCAACAAGAAGTGGTGTAAAATCATATGTTGTTGTTGGTTTAATATAATCTGGTGTTGTCATTTCATTTGTTAATTTAAGAAGAAATGAACCAAGAGGAAATCTATGATTCGAAGGTATTATTTGTAATGCATTAAGAACTGGATGATATGCTTCAAAATATACCATTGTCTCAATCATTGTTAATGAACATGAACGATCAACAACATCTAGATTCATTTGAGTTTGTTCAAAATTTTTTAATTCTTTTAATGTTTTAACCTAATTTAATAAGACAGAAAACGAAAAGACAAATTAAATAATAAATAAAAAATAAAATTTACTGATATAATAAATTTTTTTTCGACTTGTGAACGATCTTCAATTGTGCAAAATGCACATGATTGAAAATTATTAAATGTAAGAACTAGTAAATTCCCATATAATAAACGTCGACTATTAGCCCAATATATTTTTGATGCTATTCTTGAATCCAAAAGTAAATCATAAACAAGTCCACTTTGTGGAATTAATCGTGAACCAAGTAAATAAACATTTTCATATATTCGTATGTTTGAATTTTTTCCTGGAACTTTGGATAAATATTGTTGAATACCATCACGTAATGGTCCCACAAAATCTTCGCGTAAAAGACGAAAATGAATCTTAAAAAAAAAATATATATATATTGAATTTGTATAAATAAAAAAAAGAAATATTTTCATTAATTAAAACTTACATCAAGATATTGTTGAGCATTTTCATATATACCATCAACAATATTTTTTCGAAGATATGGCCGTTGTTCAGATAAAATTTCCGTTAAATTGGGAACTACGGGTAATTGATGATAATCATCAGATAGTTGATTACTATCATTTTGAATAGTAGCAATCGTATTTGTAGTATTAAAAGAATTTGCATTTAGTAATTCTTGTTTTTGTTTTTGTCGGTTTTCAATGTTTTTGACTTCTTCAAGTACTTCATCAAGTATCCTTTTTGTGACTTCAAATTCCTACAAAATAACAAAGAAATGAATGATCTAATAAGAAAAAAAATTCAATATATTATTCATACACGTGATTCATATTTAATTTTACTAAATTGTAATTCAATACGTTCAAAAATTTTCGTTAAAACATCTGCTGAATATGGTATCATAACAAGAAATGTATTTGATACTTTAAGAAATAATTCAATAAAATTAAAACGTAGTTGATTTGTATTAGGATCAACATTTCGAACTTCATCATAAACACCTTCGAGATAAAGTGTATCAGGTAATTGTTCAAAGACATTTCGGATATGATCATTTGATCCTATACATTTCGTTATTTTTTCAAGTAATATTGTCATTGAATGAATCCAATCGTATCTTTCTTTCATACGTTTATCATTTAAAAATTTGTTTAATTGAAAATTTGGATGAAGCATTTCAATAAGAATTTCATCTGATGATTTATCAACTAATTTAATAAGTGCAGAATATGAAACAGGAGGTAAACGCGGTCGTTTAATTGGTCTAAAAAATTTCAGAACAATTTGATTAATGTTTTAATCAAAATTAAAACTTACGGACTATCAAATCTTGCTTTAAATGTCGTAGAATCACGTTTTCCATAGTAACGACGGTTAATGTTGTTACTACTAGAATACCGAGTTTGCTCGTTGAAGCTTGGTCGTCTTTCTGAATCTCCTATGTTTGAATGGTAATCTTGATTTTCACGATATCTAAAATAATTATTTTATTAACATTATTAACTCTTTTGAATAAAGCAGTACCTGATAGCACTAGAGTTTGATCTACTTCTATCAGTTTGATGACTTGTACGATCGTTAGCATGATTTGTAGAAGACGTTGTATGACGTGCTTTCAAAATTAATGGCCGATTCATAAATCGTTCATAAGACTGTCTACTTTGTGAACGATCCAGATTTCGAAAACTACTTGATCTTATACCACGATTATCGCGAATAATAGACATTGTCAACAAAGTTTTTTCTTGTATTTAAAATAAACTCGTTCACAGTATATTAAGGTTTTGTTTATATCTGCTTACATATAAGTAAATGAACTACTTGATATTGAAATATAAAACCTTTTATTTTAGCAGTAGCAAAAATTTTTTGTAACTGATAATGTCACCCAAAAAAAGTTGTCAAAAATGACACAGTTCACTTTTGCAGAAAAACTGCACTAGTAAATTCTGTATAAACTATCTTTATGATGGAATTATCTGACATCGTGCAATTACATTGGCATCATTACTTAGTGACACATACCAGGATCATAGAGTGTTTTTTAGTTCTTCGTATAGTATACATGTAGACTGTTTATAACTGGTGAACTAATGGTCTTACTATACGATAACATGATCATACCTTCTTGTCTTTTTATCGTCCATCTATACGAGATAGATCGAAAACAGGATGATCGATCAATTCATCGCACATGTATTGTAGAGAATACATGAATTGAATTCAGTAACTTAGGTTAGAATGTGATCTAATTAACCGCCATAACAAAATTTTTTCTTTAGATATTTAGGAATCTTTTTCCGAATACAATGGTTTTTTTTCAAAAATAAAATAAAGATATCAATTTAAAGTGTATTTTAAAATTTAATTAAAAAAGGATTAAAGTTTGATTTTAAATAAAATTCTATGTAGACAGATTGAAAATAAAGTTCATTTTTTTTGCATTAAAGTTTATGTTTTCAGTAAATAAAGAACTTT